ACTACTAAAAAGTCGTTGAATGTAGTTCTTTGAAATTTTAGTTTCTTCTCGCTGCTATTTTTACCTACTCACAGTTAGTTTCAACGATAATTTAGATTTCGTTATCTGTGTGTTACCATTATAAAGATATCATGGCTAATTCATACAATTTTACTCGATTAAATTAAGAAAACGTTAACTTCTCTTTCATTATCTACGTGAAGAAAAAGAAAACAGTTTGCATTTCGAAATCCTTAGACGTCGCGTTTTATAAAATGAAATTTTCTTTAAGATTAAAAGAAGACGCGTGGAAACTCAATGCGCCTCAATTCATAAGACGTTAACTGCAGCTGCTCGCGCTGTCCCAGACTATTTCTAAAAAACTCCTATCCTATATTTTTCTCACGTACAACCTTAACTGTTCCTTCACAATCACATCTTATCCTTTCTGCTTTTGTAATAATTTTATTTTAATACTAGCAGCATGACACTAGCTTATATCGCATACTAATAATTTCATTCAAAGCACTAACACTATCAAAAGAACAATCTTAAAATTCAATAAATATATCACATTTTACCTTAAAATCTATTCAATTAAAGTTCAATATAATATTAATCTAATGGAAGATATTCATAAGTTTATTTATCTTTATATTATGAATACTTAGAGCTCTACGGACTACAGCAATTGTGAATCAATATTTTATCATTTACCATAATTATTATTTTTTATGAAAAAAGTTTTTAAAAATAAATTTGCATTTTAGATTGTTCGTAAATTTGCTTAATTTATGGCATGTGAGAGAACTATCTTTAACTCATTCCCTAAACGTAGTTTCCAACTCATCGTTACTTTTACTAAAATTACTTTGATACATCTTATCGTTTGAAACTTGTTGTGCCCGGGCACAGATCATTATCTTAAATCATTTGTATACACATTGCCTAGCATTTATTATACACAGACTTACGGAATTTTCTATATTCATTGCTTGCTTTCGACAAGATTTCTATTTTCTGAAATACTAACATGTAACAATCAGAAAATGGAGATCTTTACAAGAAAACAAGCAATTGAAACAAAAATATGTAACGTTGAAAAATCTTAAAATAATGCACGACGTGTACCTTATGTCTTTCCTATCGCTTTTTTCTCTACCATTATATTAATAAAGCATTCATCTAACAAATTTTTCTTTTCCCTTCAATGGCATAGATGGTAAATATCTCGTACTTCCATCTGGAGAATTACATATTAAAGACGTAGGACCTGAAGATGGATACAAGACCTACCAGTGCCGAACAAAGCACAGACTAACCGGAGAAACAAGATTATCTGCTACCAAAGGACGATTGGTCATTACAGGTAAGTTAGGTTTTGCTATATTAAATATAATTTTTTATCGTTCATTTTTTTTATCTAGTCCCGAGGTTTTCCATTTCAGATATCATTTAACTACAAATTACATAAAAAAAATAGAGATTAATTTTTCAGGAAATCTGCATTGAGAAAACACTGGGACCAGACCTCACAAATAACATACGCAAATTCATTAAACTTAAGGTAATAATTGGACAATTTTACACAATACATTATTACACGTAAAACAATAGTGAATTTATATATATATATATATATATATATATATATATATATATATATATATATATATATATAGAAAATATATCATTTTCTACGTGATATATTAATTACTATTTCTCTTTGCATTTATTTGTATACATTGAAAATGATATTTTTACTATAAATATTCTTAAAATATATAGTAGCTATAATTTTATATGATACGACAATTCGGATTAAAAATATCTATATTAACATTAGATAATGTGCATTATAAATCTTACGTTGATGAACAAAGTATTCACGAAATTTTCTAAGGCAAATACGTCGATGTTAATGTAAAATTTGGAAAGCTTCTCGCGACACGTGCGTAAGAAATATTTATGTCATTATTGTAATGATAATTTTTTTTTATCTGTTATAATAATAAAATATTTCATAATAAGAAGCAAATCGAAATGATTATTATGTTAAAATGTCTAATTATTGCTAATTATTAAAATCTGATGCTTTTTTTATGTTCTAGTTTTTTAAAAAATCTTAAATAAATTTATTCAATTATTTGCATAAATTTTGCATATAATATTTAAAAACAAGTTTTATAATCAAATATTTATGATGAAATACTAATATTATATATATTTGCGTATGGTATAATAATTTTAATAATGAAATAAAATTGGATTTATAACGGATTTATGATATAAAATTTGCACTCGTGTTATAGTTAAAGTTTCAATTTAAAATTTGATAAATCGATGTGCAAAAGAAATTTTAAATAATTATATTTAAATATGACTGATTTTAAGCTTAAAAAAATACATTATTTGCGTTGTTATTAAAACAAACTATTATTCATTGCTATTGTTATTTTTCAATTAATTTAAGCTCTACAATAAAATCAATTGCAATTATTGCACTGACATAGTTAATTTGAATTCATTGGTAATAAAGTGTGAGAAATATTTATCCGTGTATTTACAAGAAAATTTGTCCAAAGGTAAATATAATTTAGAATTTGATATTCATATAACAACATATGGCATTAATTGTAAATAGAGACGATTCAATATAATTAATTTTTTTTTCCCTTAATAATAATTGAAATTAAAAGGAATAATTACTTGTCATTGTACATAAACTTTATAAAATTTACATATAAAAACAGTTGCATTCAATAATATTTCCGACAATTCTTTAAATATTAAAATGAAATATTTCGTATGCAATCCAATTTTATAGAATCTATTAAGGGATATCGGAATGACAATTATTAGTAAAATTGAAAATTTTTCCTTACACTCTGCCTTTAATAATTGATGTATGGCACAAAATATAAAAAATTATTCGCCATTTAGCAATAATGAATTTTAGTAAAATACTAAACTTGTAAAATCAGATTTGCATTGAATAAGCTTCAACCGATATCTCTTTAAATATGTATAGTTTTATAATAAATAATTGTATTTGTGCACATCCTAATTCGTGAATAAACTTGGTTTTGAAACATCTGCTGTTAATATAAAAAATTCAAACCATTTTGGAAGAAATACATCATAATTTGCATAGTTTTGTTTAGATTTACACGATATTCACTGGAGCCTTGTTTTAAGCGTTGACGGTAAATTAATTGAATTAATGAAACCAAGTTTATAAGCGATAAACCTGAATGCTGGGACAGGGTACCCCTGCGGGCACGTATTTCGTATTTGCGCCACCGGAGAGCTTTTTCTTATTTAATCGCGATATCGTTTGTCAAACAAGTACTTTATGCTTATTTACCATTTGCCCAATTTTTCGATGAGTGGCTTTCTCGTTTACTAATTTCGCAGTGCTTAGATTAAATCTTTTGGGAAATAAAGATCACCCTATTGCTATTTAGTACGTTAGCGAATCAATGCATTATTTTGGAGTTGATGCGATACCTCATCCGACAGTCTGTTTATTATTGCCTCAGCTAGCCTTAATATTATTTTGAATAATATGTATAACATTACTAAAGTAAAGATAATGTCGAAGAGTCATTACATTGCCAATTTAAATGCAATTTTTGGCGTATTGTAATAACGTTCATTGTGCAGAACCCGTGGGAAGCGTAAGACCCAAATTTCCAAGTTTGGAGAATCTAATTGGACTATCTACATCCGCAACTAAAAATTTACGGCTTCTATGTCCGGGACAGGGATTTCCAGTCCCATCTCATAGGTATGACGAATTTATCAGCCAATCAGTGTACTAGTTATAAATATCTACAGCTCTTCGATTATTGTATTATCCTTTGTGTGTGTGTGTGTGTGTGTGTGTGTGTGTTTTTTTTTTTTTTTTTTTTTTTTTT